AATCCGCTGGGCCGCGTCGCGACGCTCTCCTCCGATCCCTTGCGCCACCACAGCCCTATCAGTGGTTATCACCGAAAATTTGATAGGGCTGCAGCTCCCGTCCCCTTTATCCGATTGGATCGTCCCGGTGCGGGTTGGATCCAGGACAAAGAAGGCTTTCCAGCGACACCCGGCAGAGCCCGCTAGCTCCACTCGTTCCGCCCCCGGCTTTATCAGGCGACGTCCACACTTGTTTACACTTTATAATTCACTTCAAAATTCGGTAGGTCCCGAACCGTAAACAAAACGTAATTTTACAGCGCACACGGCGGCACCGCTCACTAATTTTCCACACAAAAAACTAACGACAACACTTTAAAACCCCCGCAGCACGGTCAGAACACGTCAGAACGCTCTGGAACTCGGGCCACGACTAATCTAACCTAACCTAACCAAACGTAATTTAACACTAACTCAACCTAATCGTTCCCGTTCACGAATGTCTTTTAATTGCTTTCCTTTTGCATTTCAAAATTAGTAAGTCGAGATGATGGAGATTAGGTTAGGTCGAAATGGGCAGTTAAGTTCCGTCGAATTGGACAGTTCTGCCGTCCAATTAAATAATCTAGTAACTCGACTTACTATGTTATTGCTCTGTTTGTGCTTGGAAAAGTATAAAAATGAGCTTTATCAGTTACTATTTTCAATGTATATATACGACTTTTAATAAGGAAGATACAGGGACGCAAGTTTTAGCAGATCGATTTACTAAAAAAAAATAGTTTAGCATGTAGACATACTGCCTTTTGCTTTTGAAGATAACAATAAGGTATAAAATCACATTAGTAAATTATAGTAAGATGACACGCTTATATTGTTCCTTTTATAATTACAAAATAAAAATGTAGCATGTCGACTTAGTTTTGTTAAACACAAGGTTTTGATTTTCACAACATAGTAACATGGCATGCTAAAATTTAAAATACAATATTGAATAACAATACTGTAGTACGTCGATATACGAATAATTTTAAAATTATTTTCCAAGATGGATGGTCAGTACTAACCTAGTGATTTTGACTTGCTACTTTGGTTTTTCATCCATTGAGCTGAGCTCTGACCGTCAGTCGAGTCAGGTTAGCTGTTGAAGCAGGGTTGGTGTTGCAGGTGGTAACAAATGATATAATTCTTTTAACTAAGAAAATGATGTGTACGTCTCGCTCTAGTCGAATTCTGAAACTATTAACTGATAATGGACAACGGTATGTATTAACGATTGTTTTTTTATTTCAATGACAATAAAACGCATGTCGTTATTATTATCAGTAATTTGTAAAATATAAAATTATGTTAATCGTTTTACTCTCTAGGTCTAGGCAGTGAAATTTGAAACTATAATTCTTGAACTTTTACAAATTAGATTATTTTGGCGACTTTCATTCAATTTTTATTTCATAACAGTTACTTTTTCAACCTAATAGTCTAAATAACAATTTTAGATCCGAAGAAGCGAAGTGCAACGACCTCGTTGAAGACATTATGAATCTGGATTCGCCAGTGGATGATTCTGATGAAGATCCACATTACAACCCCATTCTTGATGAAAAAAAAAGAAAGGGACCACCCGAATATTTTAAAGAATACGATTTCAATATCGTTAGTCGGAAGAAACCATCGAAAAGGTCAAAATTTATAGTCTACAAGGATTATTCACAACCATTTCCCGATGAAGAGGAGTTTGAATTCAAAGGTCTAACAAATGAGGAAATCACCAAAGCACTTGAACAATTGACGGTACCAGGATCCAATTTACAAGTAAGTCAACCGTCTTTAGACAACGATAATGAAAATGTAGAACCTCTAAGTGCGATAACAAATTCCAATAAACGCAAACGCCAACTTAAACTTTTCCCTCCTTGTGATACAAAATGCAGAAAAAAATGTTCAGAAAAATTACCTTCTGATCACACAAAGACTATCTTCCAGTATTTTGAAAAACTTGACTATGGAAAACGACAACTTTTTTTTGATAAATATATTCGTAAAATGGACATTAAATACAGAAGGGTGGATGCAGAAACAAACAAACGGTTTTCGGTGTCATATAACTTGCCCATAATTTCTTTCCTTTCAAGTGTAAATAGTCCTTCATGTAATCAATCTGACAGTTCTATTGAACCATCACTTCTTTCCGGTAATATGTTATCTGTATGCAAAACAATGTTTATTCATACACTTGGGTACAAAACGGATGGTTCCGTTACCAGTTTTTTAAAGAGAACCTCAAATGATTTGCCTTGTCTAGAGGACAAGAGAGGAAAAACTCGTGCCACTCAAATGAAAGATATATCAAAGGAAAACTACACGATGGTTAAAAAACATATTGATTCATACCACCCACAAGTGTCACATTATAACATATCACACGCTCCTAATAGACGCTACTTGAGTAGTGACATAACCATACATCAAATGCATAAAGATTATTTGACCAAATACAAGCGTTTAAGCTACGAAACGTACAGAAAAGTTTTCGAAAAGGAAAATATCGGATTTACAACGCCAAGTCAAGATGACTGTGCAATTTGTTCAGTATACAAAAACCATTCACACGATGCAGAAAAAACACAAAACAGGAGTGACACCAATCAAACAGAAGTATCTACACCAAATGATGATGTTGTACCTAATGAACTAAATGAACAACATTGTTCAACATGCGTTACGTATGAAACCCACAAGCGAAGATACACATCCGCTCGGAAATTTTATACAGAAGATTCCACTCAAACATGGGGTGATGATTTCGAACTCTATGCCGTTGATATGCAAAAGGTTTTGTTGTTACCCAAAATGACAATTAAAGATGCGTTCTTCGTTAGCCGACTATCGGTATTTCATGAAACCTTTGCCAATTTAAAACCAAAAGGTAAAAACAAATGTGTTTTGTGGCATGAAGCTATTAAGGCAAGAAATGCTCCAGAAGTTGTGTCGGCGTACTACAACGTCTTAATTAGAATGGAAAGTACAACAAAGCACATAATATTTTGGGCCGATAACTGTACTGCTCAAAACAAGAATTGGACTCTTTTCACTGGCTGTCTCATTTTTGTGAATGAAGAATGGGGTCCCGAAACTATCACATTTAAGTATTTTGAACCAGGCCACAGTTTCATGAAGGCAGACGCAATACATGGGCAGATAGGCAAAAAGTGGAATAAAACAGCGGAGTTATTAGATTTTGAGGATCTTGAAAACCTGATTAAATCGTCAAACAAATTAAACGAAATCATTAGTTTACGTGCTGAAGACTTCAAAGAATTTGAAAATGGATGTATGTCGCGAAAAAAGGGTTCTTTAATGCCGAAACTGAACGACTTAAAAGTTGCACAATTTAGAAAAGGCAGCAAAAAACTTTTTTACAAATACGAACTAGAAGATGAGAATTTTTCAGACACTACATTTTTGCATCCAAAATTTAAATTAAAATTACCACGAGCTTCTTTAGGTGCATTTCCTCGAGGTCTAAAATCTGAAAAGAAGGATGCAATTATGAAAACTTTAGTGCCACACATGGGTGTTCGCAAGCAAATATTCTGGAATAATTTATTAAGTTCGCAAGACTTGCAAGATTTAGGTAAATCGGTGGCAACAATTGAAGCGACTGAGTGTGTTTAGGTTTTTAAAGTGGACGTAAATTTTGGCGCTCAAGTCTTTTTTTTTGTGTTTTTTTATACCTATTGTTCCTATTACAATAATTACTACCCATAAGTTTTTTATACATATAAATTGTTAATTACCCATAGATTATATTTACTAACGTAACTAAGAATCAGATTATTTCGTCTTTTTGGTTTGTACACGTTGTTGTTACTAAGAATGAATAAGTAAATGTGTTGAGTATTAAAATCTTACAAATAATTACAGTATTATTACTTTATTAGTAACATACCTTGCTGTATGTTTGAACCCCTTCGCAAAAAATATCTACTTGCTGTGTTTTAAAAGAGTGTGATGAAATGTAAGTTACTCTTAACAAAAGTTGCTATGTTCTTTAATTTGAATCAGCTTGATTTTTTTATATTTAATTGACTTGATACATTTTTATGCGGGATTTCAGTTTTGCATCAGTCTTAACTAGACATACTATGTTTTTAATTTGTGAACTGTAAAGGTTATTTGAAGTTAGTAACTCAAATTGTTTAAAATTTGAGAGAATTTACCAAAATAAGTGAAAACCAATTCAAAAATCTGAAAGGGCAGAAAAAATGATTAAGAAATGCATCATTTGGTTTATTAAAACTTCTGCTTTTAAAGACATCTAAGAGGTTAACTTTTGAAAAATTAAAAATGATTTTTTTCACAAACATTGCTTTATGACTTACTAGATTATACGATTGCACGGCAGAGTTAGGTTAGATTAGGTCGAGATTTGTTGTTGGGTTAAATCGAGATTTACTTTTTACTTTGAACTTACCCTAACCTTTTTTTTTTATTGAGGTTTGGGAAACCTTTTATAGGCTCCCCCGCTTGGCTCTATAGCGGGGGTTGTGCGGGACTCCCTTCCATCTAGGTAAGGTTTACCCGCTAAAACCCTTTCCTCTCTTCTTTGCCCTAGTTGACGGCATAGGGTATCGCTTAACGCATTCATCGCTGTGCCGGTTGGCCGGGGCGCGTAAAGGCATTGTTTACTACGGTGCAACGCAGTACCAGGTTGCACTGCAGTAAGGTATGGCAAAATGTACGCTGCGTTTGCTTTGGCAATCCTTACTGTTTTACAACGCTGCTGTATGCTGTAGTGTAGTAAGCTTTGACCGCTAAGAAGGCGGCGATGTTTTCTAGGACATTATTTACCACGCTGTAAACAATGTGCTTGATTTATTGTAACCTTACACAAGTGACGACTGAAAAGTAGTGGGTTAAGAAAGATTAAACAATGAGAATAAGAAAAATTAATTTTGTACTTTATTTTTTTACCTTTAATAACTGAATACAACACAAATGTAAAATACGAAAAAATGTTAATGCGATTTTGCATTTGGTCTATTATGTGTTATGTTCAGCCCCAGATTGTGCCGTCGTTTTTTTGTTTGATTGTTTTCAAGCGCAGAAGGACGTCCAGCTTGTCGACGCTTTGCTCCTGAAGTTAAGCCAGGGCGTAATTTTCTTCGGCTGATTGCAGTGGCCTGAACTCCGATTTTACGGGTTCTTTGGGATTGTTTAACGCTGTGAATGTAATTTAACATTTGCATCGGAGTCGAAATTTGTCTAATGACTTTGTTTAATTTCAATATGCCGTTTGTCATCTCGGGTGTTTTGCAATTTTTTGCAACATCTCTAAGTTTTTCGAAATGTGTAAATAACTCTTCAACTGCGGATGAATGAACTCCATGTAGGTGCTGAATCGGTTCTTCGCCGTTTGGTGATTCCGTGGTTGCTCCAATTCGATCCTCTTCATTCGCTACGGTGTATTGTGTGACCTATCCAAAATAGTTATTTTGTTAATTAATTACCTACCTATTAGAACAATAGCTACCTCATCCTGTTTTTCGATTTCTTCCTCCATGTCATTATAAAAATCTTTCGGGGCATCTGGTCCAAGTGCTATTTCGGCGTATAACTTCCTATCCCCAATAGTTAATCGAGGGGATGTTGGAAAAATTTTACCAAATTTATTTTGTATGGCACATAGATGCTTGCAAAATCTTCCTCCTTGCCCGTAGACGCAATCGCAAAACCCAACATCCAAATGAACAGTATAGAAAAGATTTTCATCATTTTCAGAAGATACCAAACAAGTTCTAGCATCTACTTCTTCTACCGACAATAACGCGGATGATTTTAACATGCGTCTAAACGCTAATTCATTTTTGGAACTTCGAAAATTAGCAAAAGAAAGTAGGTGTCTCTTGTGGTAAGACTCCAAAACTCTTGCAATGAAGTCAATGAGCGCACACGAATTAAAGGCTTTGCACCTTTCTAGGACTATATCTTTAAAAATTCTGATCGAAGCTTCCACGTAATTGTTCGTGTTATTCCCTCGCGTCAATAAATTGCTTCTACAAGCCAGCGACCATTCCTCTTTTCGAGCCCAGTAGTCCAAAATATAAAATTTCAAATTACCATACTTTTTTATAACTTCATCATTCATAAATTTGCTGAAATTTTCACTCAACTCGTCATTTGTGGTGGCGTATAACACCCTGCGAAAATGTGCCATAATGTGTTTTCGGTCTTGTTTCCCAATATCATTCTTGCTGTTCCACAACCAACGCCAAAAAGCCTGAAGAAGATGAAAAATGCAAAGTAACTTGCGAGACTCGGGAAAAACTGATTCCAGCGCATTTCTTTCAGCAGCAGAGTCATCACTCATTAAAATTTGAGGGAAACCATAGCCCCCAAAGCCATCAGTTTTCAAAGAATCTCGTAATAATTTAAAGGCCTCGGTGTAGTTTTTTTCAGTTTGCTCGGTATGAAGAATGCAAGCAAGTGGGATGGCTCCAATTTTTGTTGCGCAAAATAAAAATGTAACGCATGTACTTGTTTGGTCACAGGAACCACTAGAGTCTACGAATACCATTTCATGTGCAAACTCCTGGGAATGAGCTCTCATCATAATAGGAGTTAAGACAACAACGATCAGTGGATTTTCCTGTATAATGACTTTAATATTTTTTTCTTCGTAGCATTCTCTTTTTTTCTTTAAGACAGCCAACATATCAAAAGCTTCTCTACCTCCAAAATTTGCCCTCCTATAAATTAACGAAATTTATTAAAAAACCTAGCACCCAACGCAACGTGTGTGTGTGGTTTGACGTTCTTTTATGGTTTAGAAGATGTTAGAGATTAAGATTAAAAATATCAATGCGGTTGGTATTTTTGAATAGAAAACCTAAAATATAAGTGTGCAAACTGTTTCTTTCTAATACCAAAATCGCAAATTTCTTACGTCAGTTATGGATAAGGTCTTTATAGGTTAAATTTAAGTAGCAGTATGTATGCAGCCTTTCTTTTGAAAACTATTTTCGGCACGGTCAAGCTATCGTTGTAGGTAATATTGGAAATACAAGAGCCAATTAAAGTATATGCTACAACCATATAGGTACCTTCTCTCCACCGTGTAGGAGATAGATGTGTAGGTAAATAATTTTTTCCAAAAAAAAACCTGCGCCCCTACAATTTGGTACCTACTTTAAAGTATTTTGCAAAATAAAAAAAGATCATTGGGATGTTTATTTATCGTAATTGAGCGCACTGCATTATAGACATACTTACCTCCATTTTGAGTACAAATGTTTTATTTGTCTCTCTGTTGGATTTACTTGGGCATTAGCTAGAATTTTTGCAATTTCAGATTCTTCGTTTCCATTTTCAAGAGATATTTCATGGAAGTTTTTCGCAACTGCAGGAGTCATACCATCCTCAAAATAATTGTAAAACGTTTCCTCGGTATCCCTTAAAGTTCGCAAGTAACTAAAGGCTTCTGCTACAGCTACTGCATGTGAATGTTGAAATAAGATCTAAAAAATAAAATAATGCTCATGCTAATACCGACTAAAGATTTACAGCAGAGGAGTTAAGAGTTAAGAAAAAAAGTTAGGTTAGGTATATTACGTATGATATGCACGTTTCTGTTTGATCTATTGAAATTCCACTTACCTCGATCACTATGTTAAGTCCTTTCTTCAAATACCTATCATTTCGTATCGTATTGCGATTGATTTTCTTAAAAAGTATACTTATTTTTGCATTACAGTCTTTGGCCCGCTGTCTTGTGTCTTCCCGTTTTCTTTTTTTAACTTTATCGAAATTGTTGTGATGACAAGTGTATACCTTACGATAGAGATATTTCGTTTTGTTTGGAAATGTATACCGAACTATCCAGTTTGTGTTTGTAATCTCACTAAATTGCTCTACCCAATTTGCACACCAGTTATTATAAACATCACTAATCGTCTCGTTAGTAAGGGTGGTTTCAGGATCAAGTTTTCCTCTTAAATTCGCCGAAAAATTGTTGGAATTTATGTAGTTAAAGTTAGTCACAAGTTGACCCAAGTTAGTCAACGCGTTGATCACTCATGGCGAACGAGTTAAAACTAAACAATTTTAATTATTTGCGAAATAAGCGCTCGCATCTGCATAGATAAGACTTAATGCATCATTTCTGTTGCAGTGCAGTAAACAATGTCTTACTAACTACCGCGTTCTTTGCGGCCAAAGCTTACTACACTACAGCTAACGGCAGCGTTGTAAAGCAGTAAGGATTGCCAAAGCAAACGCAGCATACATTTTGCCATACCTTACTGCAGTGCAACCTGGTACTGCGTTGCACCGTAGTAAACAATGCCTTTACGCGGCCGGGGCAGATGTTGACCCCATAGATGTTGCCAGAGTGTGGTGTGTAGTGGCCATTATTGGCCTCTCCTTCGCGCATCGGTCTCTCTTGTTTTAATGATCTTACTTGCGTATCTCGCTATTTGCTTCCATTTGTCCTCGCACTCGAGCATGGTTGCTATAATGCTCTCCGGCAGCAGTGCCTCCCCCAGACTTGTCTCTAACTCAGTCCTGTGCCTTCTCCATCTCACACATTCGAACACCGCGTGTCCGGCATGGTCGATGTCGCCGCAATCCGCGCATTGGTCGTTTTCCCTCTTCCCTATTTTGTAGAGGTACGCCGCGTTCTCCCCGTGTCCCGTAAGGAGTTGGGTGATATAGTAATTATCCTCTCCATGCCCCCTGCTGCACCACTGTCGCACATCCGGGATAAGTGTCTTAGTCCATGGAACCCTCCCGTCCCAACGTTCCTGCCACTTCTCGTACGTTATATCTTTGGGCCACTTATTTGCTCTCGCCATGATGGCCACCTCTGCAGGGTAAATCCCCGCCACCGCCAGCACGTCGTCCACCTGCACCGTCCTATACGCACTACTAATTCTAATCGCCATCAGTCGGAACACTCGGTTGATTCTCGTCATCGCCACCCTCCATCTGGTAGCGCCCTGCCATACTTCGGCCGCGTACAGCACCACTGCCGACGCCATCACCCGCCTTTTACTGGCACTTGCACCCGTCATGTTTGGCATAATCCTGCTCAGTGCCCCGTACAATTTTGAGGCTTTGCTGCTGATTTCCTCAGCGTGGGGTATGAAAGATTGATTTTTGTCAATCCACACCCCTAGCAGCTTTATCTTAGTGTCGGAGTTGATCGACTGTCCGAGGACCTCCACCTGTAGCGAGGAGATTCTCCTCTTCCCCGTCAGCAACGCTAACTTAGTCTTGCTGGGCACCAGCTCGAGCCGTCGCTCCCCACTTGATCTATTGCATCGCGCATCTTCCGCACCGCACTCTGTCCGTCTCTATCCCGCACGATAAGTGTCAGATCGTCTGCAAATCCTATTATCGTCACGCCGCTTTCTGCGTTCATCCGTAACACTCCATCGTACATCGCGTTCCACAAGAGTGGCCCAACACCGAACCCTGCGGCACTCCCGCACTATTAACGAACTCGTACACTTCTCCTGACGGTTTTGTTGCGGTCACCACTCTTTCCGATAAGTAGCTCCTTAGCAGCCTTGTAATTTTCCTCGGCACCCCGAGCCCTCCCAGTGCGTCCATTATCGCCTCTCTTGAAGCGGAATTAAAAGCATTTTTCACGTCGAGTGACGCTACCAGACAGACCTCCCTCGTCCGCCATGTTCCCTCGTTTGCCCGTGCCACCTGCTCCACAATCGCTTTTAGGGCATCCACTGTCGACTTCCCCTTTCAGAACCCGTACTGTGACGCGCAAAGCTTGGGCTCAACTATCTCTTCCAGCTTTTTCTTGAGGACTTTCTCTGCCACTTTCCCAGCGAACTCCGTGAGGCAAATCGGTCTATGCCCCCCACTGGTCTTTGGTATCAGTACCGCCTGCTTCGCTTCCATGTCTTGGGATATATTCCCGTTCTCATCGCCTCATTTATTATCGTGGTCCAGGCCTCCGTTATTGTCGTCACCGCCTCCTTCACCACTCTCGCCGGTACCCCATCCGGTCCAGGCGCTTTGTCGTTGGGCAATGTTCTCGCCGCCTCGAATACTTCGGCGTCCGTGGCTACCCACGCCTCCTCGTCCGTTTCCGCCACCTCCTCGTCCTGTCTTAACTCGGTGTGGTTGGGGAATAGGCCGTTCACCGTCTCTACGAACGCATCGTCCGTCCATCCTACCTGGACCGTCCTCCTCCTCATCTTCTGCGCGACAATCTGATAGCCTTTTCCCCAGACCTCGTTGTCCAGGTCGTCGCATAGCAATCTCCAACATCTTCTTTTGCTGGTTTCTATCATTTCTCGCAGTACCCTACGTGCCCTCTGCCAGGCTTCCTTCTCTGGCACTGCCGGTCTCCCTGCCCTGACCGATCTCTGGTGTCTCCTCCGCTCCTCGTTACACCGCTTCCGCCTTCTGCCCGGCCGTCGTCTCGGCATCGCGTCGTCGCAAACCTTGCGAAGCAGCTGTGCGAGACTCTTATCGCTCCACGACCGGCCCCCTCCGCCTTTTTCTTGCAGGAGTGATTCCCTCAGCGCCTGTTGATTCAGTTTTCTAGGGTTCCACGCTGCCTCGTTGCTCGCCCGGGGTCTCTGCTCCGTCGTTCTCGTAGGATCGCTCAACTCCCATACAATATAGTTGTGGTCGCTGAGAGAATCAATCCCCAGCACCTCCCATCCGCTCACCCTATTGATCATCTCATCTGCTATCATCGTCACATCTATTATAGTCCCTTTTCCTCTCCCCTGGAACGTCGGTACGGTACCCTCGTTCGTACACACCAGACCTAGCGACTCCGCCCATTCCTCCATCAGCTCACCCCTAGCGTACACGGCGCCCCCCACATCGGAGAAGCCGCATTAACGTCCCCTGCGACTACCGCCCTCCTCGCGCCATTCGCTCTTATAACCCTCTGCAGTTCGTCAAGTTGCATCTGCATTTGTGTTAGTGACTCGTTAGGGCTCATGTATACACTATATAACACGATACCACCAACCCTAGCCCACACATATCCCAGTCCTTCCCCCACGCACGACCTACCCCTGATCATAATTCCAACCAACCCACTAATGTCCTTAAAAATATCGTGTCCATATGTGTCTCTCCCCACCTCGGGTAGCACTAGCACGTCACCACCCCTCTCGTCGGCCACCCGTACTGCCAGGTCCAGGGCCACCCTTCTCCTGTTGAGGTTGATTTGAATGACCTTAATCCCCATTGTCTGATCTGTTCTCCGAGTCCTGGTCGCGCATTGCCAATGTATTGTACAGCACAGAGCGGTCCATTTTCTGCAGTGCTCAATGCTTTGGCGATGGTATACGCAATAGGTAGTCTGCCAATCCATTGCTCGCTACAGATCACATTATAATGACATTACTCTGAAATGCACAATGTTTTGCAGTACCGCAATCACCCGAGGTGACGCCTTTCTATTAGCGGGCTCAGTCAGCTAATTAGTTTTATGGAAACAAAGTCTCGTCTTTGCGGAAGAAAACAACGAAAAATTAAAGTTCAGCCAACATCATTATCCCGCCGTAAATCTAGAGGTTTACCATCAAGTGGTAGAGTGCAAGCTAGAAGGCCTTCCAATAAGGAGCGCGTTAAACGCAAACATAATATTAGTTTAAATATTTCCCAAAATGAACGCCAAATTACATTAGATTTTATTTTTAAAAGAGTAAATTTGTAGCTTAGAATAAATAAAAATGAAACAAATTAAAATTAAATATTGTCGTTTCGGAGCAGTTTTTTTTTAAATTATTTGATGTACTGAAATAAAAATAAAACTGGAATAAATCAAGTTACAAATTCACTAAAACACTAAAATCATAAAAATAAAAAAAATCTTATAGGTCACTATATTTTTGATTTAATTCCTACACAAGTTTTACATTATGCATAATGAACGATAGAGATATGGTTGGAGCCGACAACGAAACGGAGTTTAGACATACATTCGCATTCACTACAAAATACTGTATACATTAAGTACCGTCATTATAGTGTGATCTGTAGCGAACGATGGATTGGCAGACTACCTATTGGGTATACCATCGCCAAAGCATTGAGCACTGCAGAAAATGGACCGCTCTGTGCTGTACAATACATTGGCAATACGCAGCCCGGTCTCGGTTCTCTTCCTCCTGCCCGATAGCCTCGCCCTGTCGTGCCGAGGTATCGCCGCCCTGTGTTCCGCTGGCCATCGTCTCTGCCATTTCCGTTTTCCTCATCTCGTACGTGCACTGCCTTGTGTAGGCCCTGTGCCCGACCCCCAGGCCCTTCGCCAGTCCCTCGCATCTTTTGCACGTAGCTTCATTTCTGCACTCAACCTAATCGTTCCCGTTCACGAATGTCTTTTAATTGGTTTCCTTTTGCATTTCAAAATTTGTCCTCTCATCAGTTAGGTTAGATCGAGAGCTTTCTAAAGACACCCATGAACCACTACCTACTACGTTCCGTTTTCGAGATATCATGATTTAAGTGTTTTTGTGGTATCAAATTACAAATCGCTAGATCTCCGTTGTTTACCGTACGATCGTGATGAAATTATGTAATGGTAGGTTTGGTGACTCGGGGCATACGTTCCCGCCATTTATGAGTTTATATCTCCATTCCGAAATTCTGACCATCTCATCGGTTAGATTACATCAAGAACTTTCCAAAGATACCCATCAACCCATATCTACGACGCATCGTTCTCGAGATATCGCGTTTTAAGTGTTTTCGGTGGTGTCAAATTACAAATCGCTATATCTCCGTTATTTACCATCCGATCTCGACGAAATTTGGTATTGTGGGGTTCAGTAACTCGGGGCATCCGTTCCCGCCATTTCCGAGCTTTTATCTCCGTTCCGAAAATTCCGACCCTCCCATCGGTTAGATTAAGTCGAGACCTATTTAAAAAACACCCATGAACCCATACCTACGACGTACCGTTCTCGAGATATCGCGTTTTAAGTTTTTGATAAAAAATCCAAAAAACAGTTTTTGCGTAGATCGTCTATAAATGCCGCGAAACGCGTGATTCCAAAGTAGGTCGAAAGACAACAGAGATGCGTCGGGGTGGGGATGGGAAAAAATTGAAAATCCCGTTTCGAGCCCCCGACCGGGTGCAGCTACAGTTCAAATTTGGTCCAGATCGGCCGGTAAATAAGGGAGATATTAAGAGATGC